TTAACAAAACGGCATTTTAGGGTATTGTTATGCCTCAATTGTGATGAACAATCATTTGTTAACTTGGCAAATGCCGTGCCACCAGGGCAAGTATTTCCTTGTAAACAAGGCACATCTCATGCAAAGTATTGGAAAGTGTTTGCAGGATCATTGCTAAGGAAAAATATTATGAATCCCAAAAACATATAAGATGTATGAAATTCAATATGCATCTTACTTTTACTTATAGCAAACTCTTAGCCTTGATGATAGACATGAAAATTGAACTAATCAATGGATTTTATCAGAACCCTTCAGACTATGGCTGTGATGAAACAAGTCAGTGAGACTGGAGAGAATAATGCTGTCATGCAAGAAAAGGTATTAGGCACAGGGACTGATACTGGTGTGAGCCCAGGAGGGATCTGTCTTTGGCAATTATTCTTAGGAAACTGTCCCTAATAGCAGATTCTTTATGTGGCACCTGCCATGCAATTGCAGTCATAGAACTCTTTTAAGAAGCCACAGGCCATAGCTACACCCATTGCAATAGGGCCTCTATTTTCTTTAAAAGGTGGAATGTGGCCACCCTCCTTTTTAACCCATGTTTTAAAATTTTTTCAACATTGTGGAATGACATCACATTTCTTATTATTAGTCCAAAGAAGAGAGAAAGAGAAAATGCATTATTTGGATGCAATCTAAGGAGATTTGGAGCGGATGTAGGGATAAATGTTGAGAGACATATATTTCTGTGGCTCTTGATTTCCTTCCAGGTGTGCCTTTAAAAACAATTATATATATATATAATTTCAGAGAGGAAGGGAGAGGGAGAAAGAGGTAGAAACATCAATGGTGAGAGAGAATCATTGATTGGCTGCCTTCTGTATGTCCCTTATTGGGGATTGAGCCCACAACCCGGGCATGTGCCCTTGACTGGAATCGAACCCGGGATCCTTCAGTCTGCAGGCCAATGCTCTATCCACTGAGGCAAACCAGCTAGGTCTAAGTGTGCCTTTTTAAGTGATGGGCAATGATGTTTACATTTTACATTTAATTTTTATGTGTAGGTAATATTAAAATGGTTCAAAAGCCAGCATACATATGTATACAGTGGAAAGCCTTCCTCCCATCATTGTCCCCCAGCTGCCCAGTTCTCTCCTAAAGGATCACCCTTGTTCTTAGTTTTATGTATCACCTTCCAGAAATTATTTAGGCATATACATGTGCAAATATGGATTCTTATTTTAGGAAAACTAAGTTGATGAGTTTTAGATCTGCCCTAGGAATCTGGTAAGGATTTCTTCTCATATCCACAGCTCACATACAAAATCTTTTTGGTATTTTATTGAAAACGGCATTACAAAGGACAGAGGACTCACTGGTGGAAGGGGACTTCCTATAACTGGCATAAGGATAATCAAGTGTTGTCAAATCCAGACTCGTGAATGCACAATTTCCCTAGCACAGGAAGTAAAAGGAGAGAACTAGGAGGAGCAAGAGGAAAACGAAACCAGATCAATACCTAGAAACAATCGACAGATGAAGTGTGGTTGTCTTTTCAAATCAACGGCTTGTTCTATTATTTCCTAAAGTCATTAAATAAACCATGGCCAGTGCCAATGCAGTTCAATGAGTTCAGAGCAGATCCCTTGGTTTTGGCAAGTCACTCAGCTGGCCCTAGAAATGGGGCTGGTAAAACCCGAGCTGAGAGAATCAGTGTTTCCTTCCTCTTGATGACTCTCTCTGGGAGCATGCCTGGAATGAGTGAGTGTAGAAGGTGAGGCGGTGAGCACACGGAAGCAGGGCTAGATGTGCATGTGGAAAAGGAGCTATGCTCTGGCATTATTTTGGCAGGCTGTAATTCTGTGAGGTGTCCTAGCTCATTCTCTCTTACACGTTTTTCTTATAACTTCTGTTCTCTCTCTTAGGATCTTAAGGTTACCAATGAGGTTGGAAGCAAGCTAGGTGCTTCAGAGTCAGGCTTGGAATCCCATTCATTCTATTCAAGGTTTCTTTCCTCAATCCCATGTATTGAGTTAACAGTCCAAGAAATGAAACTCTTATAAATTCTTCCTAATTAATCAGATAAAAGTGAACTCCCAGTAGACTCATCCTCAAAACCTCACTGCATACATCAAACATTGGCAATTGCCATGAAAACAAATTGTATGAGGACTTCATAGCAGGCACAATGCTTGGCATAAGTTGGCATTCCAAAAAGGTCTGGAAAATGAATTCCAGTGAGCTCAAATGCTCACCAACTATTGATCACCTTTCTATTATATTTTATAAAAACTGTAACATTTGCTTTTCCCCCTATAAACTTATCAATTATCAAAACAGTCTTTTGAATATGGGCAAGCAAGTCCATTTAGATTCAGGAGAGCATTTAAAAATATACATTTTTATTGATTTCAAGGAGGAAGGAAGAGGGGAAGAGAGATAGAAACATCAACAATGAGAAAGAATCATTGATTGGCTTTTGCCTACATGCCCTCTACGGGGGATCGAGCCTGCAACCTGGGCATGCACACTTGAGCAGAATTGTACACAGGACCCTTCAGTCCACAGGCTGGTGTTCTATCCACTGAGCCAAATTGGCTAGGGCAGCATTTTCATTTTTAACCTCATTATTCTAGAAGTGAGAGCCAAGTGAATAGGTAGACATGAATCAGACAGGTCTGGAGTAAAATTTGTCCATTCATCCACCCACCCATCCATCCACCTAACAAATACATCTAAGTTATCTATATGCTGAGACTAAGCAGGATATTCCTATATAAATCAATGTGAACAAAACAGCTTCAATACTCATCTTCATGAATTTTACCATCTAGGAGAAGAGAAAGTAAATGAAATATTCACACATTATGGTAATCTTTATGAAACAAACAAAAAGCTGAATTAGAGGCTAATGGGATGAGAATGTGAAGATGTTATAGATGAGGCAGATAGAGAAGCCATCTATGAGAAAGGCACTTAAGCTGAGACCCAAATGCTGGCATAAGTTAGCCATGCAGAGTACAGAATAGTATTCTAGGCACGGGGATCAGCATGTACAAAGACTTTGAGGCAGGAAGGGGTATGGTGTATCCAAGAATTTCAGCTCTGACTTCAACAGCTGGAGAAGATAGAATAAGCTACTCAATTTTTTGAGGCTTTATTTCTTCATATTTACTAATAAGGTAATGGTACATATTTGACAGGGTTGTTGAGAAAATTTAATGGGCTAACACAGCGGTTCTCAACCTGTGGGTCGCGACCCCTTTGGGGGTCGAACGACCCTTTCACAGGTTATGAAGTAGCAACAAAAGTAATTTTATGGTTGGGGGTCACCACAACATGAGGAACTGTATTAAAGGGTCGCGGCATTAGGGAGGTTGAGAACCACTGGGCTAAACTGTACCTTACTTGAATCACTTTACAAGGTACACAAAGGTCTCTGAGACTCCAGTTGGTCCTCATCACCCAATGTGCTTGACCTCCTATTCATGCAGTTTTGGGAATCAACCATCACTGGAGCCAGAGAACATCCCCCATCCCTGGTATTTCCATGTTCTCCAACAAGAGGAGAGAATAGGCACAGATTCTATTTGTTCATCTTAGAAATGCTAGAAATCAAAGCAGGAGGGAGGGGGATAGAGAAAGTGAAATGATGTGCTTCATCATTCATAGGATAAAATTTGAAGGTCACGTTTTTACATTTGGGAAGCTTTGAGTTTTGAGACTAGGTGTTTAGGAAACAGAATAAAGAAAACTGAAATAATGGTCATTGCGTCCCATCTACAATAGACACTGTGCTGGGCAAGTTATGGACTTTCTCTCATTTAATCTTCACAAGGATCCTACAAGATAGGTCTTTGTGGCCTTGTTTAAAAATGGCACAGCCTGGCTAGTGTGGCTCAGCGGTTGAGAGTCAACCTATGAACCAGGAGGTCAAGGTTCCACACCAGGTCAGGGCACATGCCCAGGTTGCAGGCTCGATCCCAGTAGGGGACATGCAGGAGGCAGCCAAGCAATGATTCTCTCTCATTATTAATGTTTCTATCTTTCTCTCCCTCTCCCTTCCTCTCTGAAATCAATAAAAGTATAAAAATGACACAAATGAACCTCAGAGGGAAATGAAAATTTCACTCAGTCCCTGTCTTATCTTTGGAATTTAATGTGGAATTGGGCAATTCTTTGGTAGTGATGAGAATCTTAAAGTGAGCATACAGTGTACAGGGATGGGAAAAGTAGATTTATAGTTATTCATGTGGAAAATAATACAATAATAAATAAATTAATAATACAAGAATAAAGTCTGTGTTTTGTGTATTCACAACTGTAAACCTACTTGTATATAGTTGATATATTTCTTTAGAAAACTTTGTTATTATGGCAGTACCACATTATCATTAATTAATAATTAATGATAATAATTATAATTAATGACAATAATGCCATTATCATGACTTTATCTCAACTCAACAGCATTGATTGGGTACCTCACTCATGTCTCAGGCACTACAATGGGTAGAGAGATATATAGTGCAGAACTTGTTTTGGAGAATGGAATAAACTGACAGTTCATTGCAGCTCGGGTGTGCAGTGGTGCAGGAGTGGTTAGCAGGGCTGAGGTGATGCCATGCTAAAGAGTTTTGGATTCTGTCCTATGGCAGACAGGCACCTGATCAGAGTAGCATTTTAGAAGGACTACTCACATGGCTATTTTTATTATATATATATATGTATTTTTTGCTGATAGTATTACAGATATCTCCCATTTCCCCCCCTTCCCAGGCCCTACTTACGCCCCCAGGTCTTCACTACCCTATTGCCCTTGTCCATGAGCTATGCATATAAGTATATAAGTTCTTTGGTTTATCTCTTCTCATCCCCCCAACCGCACATCGAGGTATGTCAGTCTGGAACAGACCCACATGGCTACTTTTAGACACGGCTTTGTAAGCAGCAGTTTATCCTGTGGGCCATGTTAATAACCTTCCTCTTACATTATGCTCCCTCTTTCCTTCTAGGCACAGTGGACGGTGCCATGGACCTGATCTTGATCAATTCCCTACCTCTTGTGTCTGACGCTGAAACATCCCTCACCTGCATCGCCTCTGGATGGCGCCCCCATGAGCCCCTCACCATAGGAAGAGACTTTGAAGCCTTAATGAACCAGCACCAGGATCCACTGGAAGTTACTCAAGATGTGAGCAGAGAATGGGCGAAAACTGTCATTTGGAAGAGAGAGAAGGCTAGTAAAATCAATGGTGCTTACTTCTGTGAAGGGCGGGTTCGAGGAGAGGCAATAAAGATACGCACCATGAAGATGCGCCAACAAGGTAAGATGTCCCTTAGTTGTGGGCACGTGAGACCCACTGAGACACAAACACACCTTTTGTGTTGGCAGCTGCTCACTCAGGGGCTGGTATGAGCTGCCTGGGCATAGCTTCAGGACCTTGTCGGCCTTTTTCCAAACATTGCTATCTCTAGTACACCAAGCATTAGAGAGAAACGAGACAGTCCAGGCCAACTTCCTCACATTCAACCCCATTCACTAGACATTGTGCATAAGATGAAGTGAAATATATGTTCTACAAAGGGATTCGCAGCCCTATGGAAAAATGAGCATGTTACATGCATGTAATGTAAAAGTCACAGCAATGAGGACAGCTGTGCACTGCCAGACGGTTGGCTATTTTGATCTTTCTCATTGACTTTTTTACTTGATTCTTTATTTTATTTATTTTTGCTTTCCCTTAAATAGTCTTAACAGAAGCTAATGTTTTCAGGGGGGAAAGATGGTAGAGATAAAAAAAAAACTGAAAATGGAAACATCTATCAAAAACGGAACCTAATTGGCTATGGGTGTGTTGGTTATCTACTGCCACAGGGATGCTGGGCAACACAACCACAGGCCACAGAGGCATGCGACCATAAGCACTTATTGCTTGTGGGTGTGATTAGGTGGCTCTGCTGATCTTGACTGGATTTTCTCACACATATGGATGTTTTCTGGCTGGCAGCTCATTAGGCTGGCCTTGGTTGGGCCAGCTTGACTCTGTTCCACATGCGTATGAACTTAGACATGGTCTCATGGGCATAGCAAAAGTGCAAGAGAACAAGTGGAAACCTAGAGTCAGTATTATTCATTCTCAATTCTGCCTCATTTTATTGCTCCAAGCTGAGCCTAAATCAGATGGGAGGGCACTACCCAGTGACATGGTGAAGAGTTGTGGCTACACAGAGGGATGAAGAACTGGGCCTTTTTTGCAGGCTGCCATTCTTGGAAAAAGACGAGGACTTAATTTTAGAAGTGGAGTGCCCAGGCCCAGCTCACAGCACACCAGGACTATGAAGGAAGATATTGAGAGCCTTCTGCAAGGGAGGCTGCGCCTCACAAGGCAGTGATGTGATGGAGCCTTTCTCCTGATAGAAGTGGGTCCTAAGCTCAGTCTTTAGGGCAGCCGGCCACACGGATAGCAGTTGGGAGGCGATGGTGCTGTAACACTCTTGAATGATTCTGTTCTGCCCTAAGGCTCCCAGGACCAGACAGGCAGCTAGACTCCTGCATTTCTAACAAGGTCTCAGGTGAGAAGATTCTCCTGGGAGAGACCACACTTTGAAGGGTACAGTAGGAGCCCAGCTGGGGTTCACCTGATAACATTGCTTTGACTTTGCTAATGGTGGTAATTAAAAGATTTGAAGGCAGTAAGCTCATTCTAAGGTCAAACATGATAAAACCATTATTCATTACAAATGATGGAAAAGGTTTCTTAGCAAAACTGTTATGTTCCCCTTTGACTGACACCAGGGCGAGTGGGAAAAGTGCACAGCAGACATTCCCAGGAATGCAGCTCCCGGTGAGGGAAGAGAGGTTGAACAAAGGGATGTGAGGTGTGCCAAAGCTAGCAAGGTGAAAAGTCACCTCTATTATGTTTCACATGTGACATTTGGGATTCCACTTGGATAAAGAGTTATGTCCTTCTGCTGATATTCTCACACTCTGAATGAAGACAATCTGAGACTCGTGCCCTAAAGGGTTCACAGGAATGAAATGTGAAGTGCCACCGTGCCCTTTCTGGGTGTCCTGGGATTGTCCTTGCCAGTGTGTAAATAAGAACCTGTAGAGCATGTTAGACCAGAACAATAGGAGTCAAAAGCCAACTGTAATGGTCCCTCCAAACAGAGTCCAGGTCAGCACAGATAGAGAGGGCACATTCAGCTAAATGAGGCGCCAGCAGGCTTGGATAGTGAGAAACAGCTGAGAGAAGATGGTTTTTAGATTCATATTCACCTGAGTGTTAATTCATTCTCCAACTCTTACTAGCTGTGTGGGCTTAGGCAACATATTTAACCGCTCTAAGTCTCATGTTCCATCATCTGTGGAATAGTCATAACAATATCTTCAAAATTGTTTTTTAAGTTTTAAATAAGGTGGTATATGCAAGAAGCCAGTTCCATGAGTGCACTTAAAATAAGATATGATGCCCTAGCCGGTTTGGCTCAGTGGCTAGAGCATCAGCCTGTGGACTGAAGGGTCCCGGGTTCAATTCCGGTCAAGGGCACATGCCTGGGTTGTGGGCTTGATCCCTAGTAGCCCCGTGCAGGAGGCAGCCGATCAATGATTCTCTCTCATCATTGATGTTTCCATCTCTCTTTCCTTCTCCCTTCCTCTCTAAAATCAATAAAAATATAATTTTTAAAAAATTAAAATGAGATCTGAGTTGCACAGTGGATGTGTTCTAAAAAGCTTGTCTAAAGGAGACATTGCAGAGTGCTTTACATAGTAATGACAGCAGCAGTCTGTAAATGGTGGGAATGGATTTGATGCCAAGTGATCGGATTTCAGAGCCGGTATTTCTGGCCACCGCACTACCCTTTGTGTATCACTCTCAGTGTCCACCTCTCTCTCTCCCTCATCCTGAGCACTTGTATTATGAAGTACAACCACTCCAACAGAAACTCTACAGAACAACGCAGGGCACAGCGTAGGCAGGGGTGGGCAAACTTTTTGACTCGAGGGCCACAATGGGTTCTTAAACTGGACCAGAGGGCCGGAACAAAAGCATGGATGGAGTGTTTGTGTGAACTAATATAAATTCAAAGTAAACATCATTACATAAAAGGGTACGGTCTTTTTTTTTTTTTAGTTTTATTCATTTCAAATGGGCCGGATCCGGCCCGCGGGCCGTAGTTTGCCCACGGCTGGAGAGGTACAGGAGTGGATGTCACCATACGTGGGTTTGAGCTCAGCTCTGCAACTGAGTGATATGACCCAGGGCAAGTTACTTAATTGAAATAATAGTTTCCTCATTTGAAAAAAAAATGAGGATAGAGACTGAACCACATACACTCAAGAGTCAAATGAGATCATCAATGTTATCTGGCTCACAGTAAATGTTCAATAATTATCATCATTATGGTTCCTTGGGATAAGCAGTAATTTAGTGGGGCTATTAATTTTCCCACTTGTGAAAATTTTTAATATCATCTACTTAACATAATTGTGGAGGTTTATATAAAATAGAAAAATAGGCAGTACTTTCCTGTATTTTAGTAATAACAGTTCAGGCTGTTGAACTGATTCTGTTTCTTTTGTTGACCACCCAACAGCTGAAATATGATGTGAGGAAAGTGATATCCTTCATAGTGAATCAGGAAAACCTCCAAAACTCTGTCTTCATGACACTATCAATTCCCTGGTACAACATCGTGGGAACCGCAAGTGCCTGCCCAGGGACACAGCAGGGTAGCATAAACACCGATACAGTCCTGCCTGCTGCTGACTCCTGCATCTGGGAGGAAGTGGAAAATCCATTTGAGATGTGCCAAAACACGGCTTAAATTGGCTCTCATACTCCAAATGGCCAACCTGTTTTTATCAATGGCATCATCCGAAAAAGTCAAAAGCAGTTTATTCAGACCTTGCTGGCGATTTCATTTGGGAGTGGGGAGATAGATATGAAGTTTGAGACATTTTCACAAGCAAACGTCTGTTTGGGTGTTCCATTGGAAGAAACACGGGTGATTTTTCTCCTTATTTTCATTTGAGAAATAGCTGGATTTAAGGACATCAAACTTTCCACACAAGATTTGTGAAGTTGAAAGAGGTGAGCCATTTTTATCTAAATAACCCAAATGAACATGTTGAAAGCATAAGGGAAGTAGGAAGATTTGAAATCAGATTCATTTATTTATTCTTTCATTCCACAAGTATTCTTCAGCCTCTATTTGTGCCACACACGGGGGATGCAATGATGTTAACACTTCCCAAGTACTTACTATTTTATACATTGCTGTAAAATCTAGTCTTTACCAAATGCTTATCTCATGAGGACTATTATGACCCCATATTAGTAGATGAGGCTTGTAGCTATTATAACTTAGGTACATTCGCACACCTGGTTCCCATTGTTGGACCTGGGATGGTTAACAGAGGCCTGATCCCAGAGGCCAGGCCCCGCCCACCTTGTGCTGCCTTCCAATGGACGTGCCCTCCTGGAGCTCAGGCTAGTAGGGGCAATACCGTAGCAGTGGCACTGTAACGGGAAGTGCAGTTATAATGGCACTTCACCTAGATCCCAGGGGCTGTGTAAGGCCCCTGGAAAAAGTGATAGCTAAGTGAAGACTGAGCCCTGGCCAGTGTGGCTCAGTTGGTTGGAGCATTGTGCCACTCACTGAAAGGTCGAGGGTTTGATTCCCGGTCAGGGCACATACCTAGGTTATAGGTTGCATCCCTGGCCAGGGCTTGAGCAGGAGACAACTGATCAAAGTTTCACTCTCACATTGATGTTTCTCTCTCTTGCTCTCTCTCTCCTCCCTTCGTCTCTCTAAAACAAATTTAAAAATAAATAAATAAATGAAGATTGAATGAGAAGGAGTTGGTGAGACATAGGGGAAATGAAGGAGCAGAGGGAAAGGAGGAAGTTCACAACTTAGACGTGAATGATCACAGGGTCTGTTTGAAGAACTTCATATATTTCAGAATGGAGGCCGGCCCGGATGCAGGCCTGGAGTATGATGAGGCTGGAGAGCTGGGGTTGGGGAACAAGTATGGACATCTTGAGATTGTGTGTTAACTTTCACACTTACTCAAAGTTAGGAGGCCCTGAGTAAGGGAGTTAGTTACCCTTAACTCAGTCACCCACATCAGTAAATTGGATATCCTGTTTGCACAGGGCTTTTGTGAAATTATACAAAACTAGAGGCCCAGTGCACTGCCTGCTGCTGGCTGGGACCTCCCTTCCCCTGGCTGCCTGCCACAGGCTGGGGCCTCCCTTCCTGCGGTTATCCAGCTGGCCCCGCCCCCTAGTCTAACTCCTGGTGGAGGGAACAATTTGCATATTAGTTTTATTATATAGGATAATAATGAACATAAAAGTACATCTTATTACTCCTAGTCCTTAACTCTCATTAAAGGAGCAATGGAAGTTTTTCTCAATTATTTTTCATCCTCTCATTAAAGGAGACAACTGAAATTTTTCTATTATTTTTCATCCTTGAGAAACATCTTTGTTACTCCATCTATTTTTCTTCTCCAGCCCTTTAAGGAACAGTGAACTGTGTTTTTAGTTAAGTTCTGCCCATTAAGGGGCTCATCCCAGTGACCCTGCAGCTCCTCCTCTCGCCCAGGCCTCAGCAGTCTCCTTTAAGACAAGGTGCTGGGACCTGAAGCCTTTTGAGTACTAACCTCTGAAAGGTCACTTCCATGAACTTGCTGTGTGATCTTGGACAGGTTGTATAACCTCTGTGTATCTTAATCTCTTCATTTGTAAGAGTAGGATAATGGTAGTAGCCATCTCACAGAGACATTATGAAAATTCAATAAGTGTCAAGTCCTCAGCACAGTGCCTGGTGGCAGTAGGCATAGTTCAAAGGTGCTCATTGTTTTCACGATCCAGTCAAGGCCCACGGCATCAGCCTGTGTGCACCATGGAGAAGCTGGGCTCCTGGGTCATCAGCCTGGAGACGTGGGTGCAGGAGGTGCCAGGCTGGGCAGCCGTGGGACTCTGGTGTGGCTGTGTTCCTACCTGAGGGAACGGGGAGCTCAGAGAGCATAAGATCTGGAACAATAGCCACAGCGTGGGGAGAGAGAGAAGCTGTCTTGGGGTTGAGTGTAGTGGGGAGTCTTTGTTCCTTTTCAGAAACAATGCTGGGCGAGAAGTCCCATGGTCAGCTAAACAGTCAGGGGCAGAAAATATAAACAAACCACAGAGAAAGGAACAACACGAAGTGGTCGGAAAAATTATCCCAGGAGCCCAGGAGCTTGCCACAGAAAGCCAATTACACATTCGAGGGCTTTGGAATGAAGCGCCTTGTCAGTGTGGGTGGGCGCCCACCAGAGCCCCCGCTGCCCCCAGGGCCTGTTCAGGTTGGTTCATGTCAGTCCGGTAGAGAAAGTCACCACTCAAGTGCATATTACAAAAGTCAGCACAGCAGTGCTGCTGTTTATTTATGTTTGGGAAGGATACTGACTTCTAAGCACCTGGGGGCTTGGCATACATCATTTAATATTTTGAACAACCTTTTAAGGTAAATATTTTTACTTCCAAATTATAGATGAGGACACTGTGGTGTTCAGAGGTTAAGTAGGTTGCTCACAGAGGCCCAGTGAGTGGCAGAGGGTAGTCTCAAGCCAGGACTGTCTTATCCCAGGGCTCACAGGCCCTTTGACCTGCACTATTCTCCTGTCTGCACCAAGGCACCCATGTGGGAGTCCTGGCTGGGCACCGGGCCTTGGTCAGCGGGCACAACAAGCAGACAGACCCAAAGCCCGGATCCCGAGCCTGGGTCAAAGGCATCTTCTGCCCTCACAGGGCGGCTCTCTGAGCTCTTGATCAGCTTCTCAAGCCGCCCATCCAAAAGCCACTCTGTGGGGATTCAGACATTAGGTAGAGGGTGTTTTGCACTGATTTCTAATTTAGGTGGATTCTAGTTAGAGAATTTGATTCTTCATTATTTACAGAGATGTGCTTTATGGCTTAATAGCAGGCAATATGCTTCAAAATAGCCTGTATTCAGAAGCTACCTACAGGGGTCCATGAATATCCAAGACCTTAAATCGTGTTATTCAAATCTTTGTCTTCACTGACTTTTGGTCCATTTGATTCATCAGTTGTTGAACATTTCCTCAATGCTTGTGGACTTGGCACTCTCTTTGTTTAATTGTCAGTTTTTGTTTTGTGGGTTTTGAAGCTCTGCTGTTAGGGGCGTATACAAGTTCAGGGTTATTTAACCCACCTGGTGGATTGTGTCTTTTTCTCATCATGTAAAGGCCATCTTGATCCCTAAAATTTTGTTTTGGCATCTGAATAGATTTTTCTTCTGATATAAATATTGCAATATCAAGCTTCTTTTAGTTATTAGTGCAGTATATGTTATTCTGTCCCTTTATTCTCAGTTTTATATGTCATTACACTAAATGTGTAGTTAATGGAAAGAGCATATATTTACATATTTATATCTATTAAATTAATTCTGAGGATCTCTGGCTTTTAACATCTTATTATGTCTTTTCTGCATGCCGTGATTTTTCTTTGTGATTTGTTCTCCTTTTATGTCCCTGTTTGCTTTCATTCTCCCTGCCCTCTGTATTTAGGAAAGTTGTAAATATTCTGTTTCTCTTCTTTTAGTGGTTATCCTTACATTTTTTATGTTGGCCTACTTTCCATGTCAGTTATACCTCAATAAGGCTGGAACTTTAAAAAGTCCTTACATTTTTTATGTTGGCCTACTTTCCATGTCAGCAAGGCTGGAACTTTAAAAATTGGCTTAACTTGAAGCCTAGAATGAATTCCCCCTTATTCTGTAGTTGTGGTCCTCTGCAGATTATGGTGTAAGTTAAAGGAACTCAGGAACTGTTGTAGCTGGGAGATGGTGACAAGATTTTGTTCACACATCTTGTCCCATAAATCAAGGAGCTCAGGCAATACTTTGTTCCAAGCTTAGCACAGAGACAGAAGTTTCCAAAATTATTTTATAAACCAAATCCACAATAACTTCTCTAGTTTCATCTTAATACTCCAGTCCCATGATTATGTCAGCTCATATATATCTAACTAAAGGGTAGAAGGCAAGATGTTGTGTCTTTGTCTTATTCTTCAATATTCCAATGTTTACACCATTCATAGTAAGTGCAGCATTGTACTGAATCCATTGGAGAAATGCTTGGGGCATTCTAAAGCAATGAGAATCATTTGGAGCAACAACAACCCGAAAGGACCAAGGGAAAAGCCATTTATCTGGCCATTCATATTCTATTCCACTTTGAGGAAACTTACTAAGGATTGGAGAAGGAGGGCTGGTTCATCGTTAATATCAGGTTTTGGTTTGGTAATAGGTATTTATCAATACAAGGTCCTCACCTCCCCAGCTAGTTGCATGGAAAAAATGTACGTATGTATGTTGTGTGTATATATTTACATTTTTACAGAGGAAATAACTATTCCTTTCATCAGATTCTTAAAAAATGATATAACCTTAAGAAACCCATCAGCTACCACTGTTTTTAATACCATGAAAATCAGCTGACTGCTGCCCAGTTCCAGTCCTCACTGTCTGATGTCTGAACGGTGGAGAAAATATGCAACCTCATTTTCTCCTTTGTTTTCTGTCTCTCTTTTAAAAGCTTCCTTCCTACCATCTACTTTAACCATGACCGTGGACAGGGGAGATAACGTGAACATATCTTTCAAAAAGGTGTTGATTAAAGAAGAAGATGCAGTGATTTACAAGAATGGTGAGTCTGTGTTTTGCTTCCTTTCAGCACCATGGTGTGAGACACAGCTAGCACACACCACATAGGGGCATTATCTTACTGCAGTCTTAGAAGCAGATGTTGGAAGTAAAGCTAATATGAAGCGAGCTAACCAAATTATATGATAGAAGCTCTCTTAGGAGATGTGTTTGGTGACTTAATCAAATAAATTTGAGATTCATAGACATATATGAATATACAGTATGAATTATAAATGTACAATAAAACCCCATTGTGATGTGATAAATGGGGTTCCAAATTCTGCCATATAAAATGTTTGCTTGTTTGATTGCAAAGTTAATAAAATGTTCAGCATGAGCCTGGAGAGCCACTGGCAATCGTCCTGGGGGGCCTTAACTGTGCAATCCAAATCCATCTCCGTCCAGCTATGGTTTGGCACCACTTGGTGGCGAAGACCTGGTCCAGCTGAAATATTGCTGGGGATTATTCTGAGTTCTGTGGATGGATAAGACGTCCAGATTGGAGTAGTGATTCTAGGTATCTTCTGGTTAATTGATTAGTTGTCATTTCCCACCCAGATTTGCCTGCTTACCTGCAGCAGATAAGAACTTTAGCCTCCCCACATCTTCATGTGTTTGGCAGTAGATTCCATAGACTAATAGGCTATCTGCTCTATCACCATACCTTTCTCCACTGTTGGGAGTGCATTGAGCTCAGCCTTTTCATTCTTCTCCCACACTCAATATGCTAACTAGAGCACATTTTCTATCGGGTTATGGAAGGCTGATCAAGTAGAGGAGCCAGACAAGGAAATAAGAGTGTTTGAGAGTGACCCTTTATTCTCTTCTCTTCTCCTTTATCAGGTTCCTTCATCCATTCAGTGCCCAGGCACGAAGTACCTGATATTTTAGAAGTGCATCTGCCTCACGCTCAGCCCCAGGATGCTGGAGTGTACTCGGCCAGGTACATAGGAGGAAACCTCTTCACCTCGGCCTTCACCAGGCTCATAGTCCGGAGTAAGTGATTGAGAGGCCACTGTCTGTGATGGCATAGTTGTTAGGATTTTTATTTGCAAGTAAACTGACTCTGGCACCTAAACCAAAACCAGGGATTGGTTGGAAGTATACTAAGGGCTCTTAGAAAATTGATGGAAAAGCCGACAAGCAAGTTTTCAGAAAAGATAGGCTCCAGGGAAGATCTGGGGCTCACCACTGGTGGGGAAGAGTAGTCTTTCTCTCTAGGATGCCACCTACCATTTCCCTAACTTAAATTCAGTAACGTTTCTTTTACTTACAAGTTTTGAATTCCCGTGATAAAGAATAAAATTGGTGTCACATATGTCGCCACATGCAGCTCTTTGGCCCCTTGAGTGTGGCTCTTCCACAAAATACCGACTTCTGCGCATGGGCCACGAAGTTTCAATCGCACTGTATGTGAGCGCCCGCACGTGGTATTTTGTGGAAGAGCCACACTCAAGGGGCCAAAGAGCTGCATGTGGCTTGCGAGCTGCAGTTTGCCGACCACTGGCCTAGACCAGCAAGATATAGACAAGGGTGGAGCCACATACTCCGGTACAGGCACTGGGACCTCACACTTGAATAGCAGCACCACTCCCATACAAAGGGGGAATCGTGACCTGGTCAGTCTCCTGAGAGGTATCCTAAGGGGGTGAGGTGGGCCTGCTGGGTTGCTCTAATATCTGGTTAAACATCAAGTCTCCTGTAAATCCCACAACTTCCAGATCATTTAACTCTCAAGTGTGATTTCTATTTTCAGGTTTGAAAAGTGCAAGAGTTAGAACTAGTGAAAACCACCCTTCACCCCATTATAACTATCAACGTGGGAAGTGACCATCATCAGTAGTTTTTACACAAAATTGATCTGTAGGAAGCAACAAATTGGCCCTGAATCTTCCCCAGCTATGTCAGGTATTCATGATATTAGGTACTCAGGCTTCAGGTCTAAGTACTTGGGATGCTTTGTCATTCCTCTAACAATTGGGATCTCTAACTCATGAGGAGTATTTTGCTTTGCATGATATTCATTCATTCACTCATTCAGCAAATAGTGTTGATTTTAACTGTGTCAGGCATTGTATTGGTGTTGAGAATACAAGAATCATAAGATGAGCCACTGTTCCTTAGCTAGTTACCAAATAGAGTGGCTACATACATAAATAGATATTGCAATATGACAATAGACTTATGAAAAGTGTGGTTCATGTAGTTTGTGCAGGTAAAATCCCTTTTATTCCACTACACTCATGGAGAGTCTGAATGACAAGGACACAATTTAGATTCATTTCTTAGATGGTTTCTCTCCGGGCTGATACAGCACCATGGACCTCGGTGCTCAGAGTCTGGGTTAAATGGGCAGATTTTCCAGCAGTATCAGAAACCTCAGATATTGATACAAGGTAAAAAGTTTAAAGCTTTTAGAAAACAACTCAGCACAGACCAGAATTTAAAACTCACCTGAACTTTTAAGATAAGGCAAAAGACTTCAAGCACATTTTGATCTTCAAGTTGTCTCTTTCTCAGATCGCTGGGAGCACATGTTTATTCTCTTTTGCTCTTAGGGAGTAGTTCAGTGAACCTGTTTTAGAATCACTGCCAATAAGTAAACTCATTCTAAGAAATGTGAGTTTGGATACAATCATCGCATTTAAAAGTATTTCCCCCAGGATGACCTCTCTGATGTTTAGGCATTCGAAGGTGTCTGTCCACTTCTCCTGACTGTAGGGTGTCTCTCTCCAGGATGAACGAAGCCTAGGAAGAGTGAGTGCTTAAAGACTGTGTAGTAAAAATCACGCTGCTTATGTGTATAGGGTTTATTTTTAGTATAAATTCTCTCCCGGACAAAAGATTCCCCACAAGCATTAGGTTTACAGGGTTTCTCTCTGTAGGCCGTGAATCCGTGGTTTCCTAAAATACAAAACCATGAGGGTTATGAAGAAAAGAACAAAGCCTAATTGCATATCATTGCTTAGCAGCAAACTCTTCTCCTGACTGCTCCATCCCCAATCATTCCCTTGGGCTTTATTCTCTCCTCCTTCCCAGGATTCCGTGCGAAGCTGGGACAGGTCTAGTGTTTGGTGTAAAACTAGAGACATAGTTTAATGGGACAGGAAGCCTGTTTTCATTTCCAGTTTTTTCCATCATTAGTCTTCACTGTCCACATAGCCTGTCTGTGGTCAGGCTCTTAAGAAATCGCTAATCGTGCAGAATAATCTTCCCCTTTCTATACTAAGGCATGTAAATATTAGCTTTGAGACATTTTGTAGCTCTATCTAGTAAGTGGAAGCCTGAAGGAAAAGGTCTGTGCTGACAGTCTTCCTGATTATTTTAGAGAAAATACTGATAACCAGGAATTCTTGCCAAAGAAATTACAAGGTTACATTGACTATAGGCACAGGTCCAAGCTTCACCATCATGAAAATAACATTCAGGGACCAAGAGCACAGAAGAAAAATTAAATAAAATTTAAAATCCAACACCCCCATATATGTCAGAAGGTATCCTTAGACCTAATTAACAATCTAAAGTCACCAAGTGCTGGAGAGAAGTAGCCAAGAAATATGAATCCAGAAGCATTTTACCATCCTTATACTTTAGGTTTGTGTATCTTATTTCACTTTTTATTTTTTCTTCCTGGAAAATGAGTGGATGCTACTAGCGTCTGCTTCCCCTTTGGGTCATATCCCTTCTCCACATTATACCAGAGGTTCTCAAACTCTGGCTTGTATCAGAATCATCTGGGAGACTTGTTAAGCTTCAATTGCTAGACCACCACCACAGTTTCTCATCAGGAGGTCATGGGTGGGAGTCTGAGATTTGCATGACTAACAGGTGATGGAGATACTGCTGATTCAGGACCACACTTTGGAAATCACTGTTCTAGCCTCTAACCATACCTGCAGCTCTGCCAGCATGTGGTGCTCTCTTCTTGGCCTCGCCTTCACCTGGAACACACTCTGCAGTCCTATCTTCCTTGCTACTTAGGTCAAGCCTGTCAAACTCGCAGTCCATGGGCCGCATGCCTCGTTTCTTTGGCTTGTGTTAGCCTTTGAGTTTGACATGCTTGACTTAGGTGGTGCTGCAGATTCTGCTCACATACCACCTCCTCTGGGAAGCCTTCCTTTATGCCCTCTTCCATCCCCAAGACAGAATTAGGTACTTTTTGTCTTTGTTCCTATCACTATTTTTTGTTAACATATCTATTTCCCACATTAAACTATTAGCCTTTAAAGAGCAAAGATTGTATTTTGTTTATAGTCATTCACTCGGGTCCTCTGAAATGACTGACATATAGCAGGTTTGTTGTCAATGTGCGTTACTCACCCCAGCCTTGTTTTCCTTAACGAAAGGATGCGAGGCTCAGAAGTGGGGACCTGAGTGTAACCGTGTCTGCACTGCCTGTGTGAACAATGGTGTCTGCCATGAGGACACTGGGGAATGCATTTGCCCTCCTGGGTTTATGGGGAGAACATGTGAGAAGGGTAAGTCAAGAGTACTTGATGAGTACGTTGTGGGTTGAAAAAGACACCACTGGATCTAGAATTTTATATGTGGACAGAGTTGGGGATGGAAGTTAAATGGCCTCTGCTAGGCATACGGTACCTTTGTGTGAGTTAGAAAAAGGTGCCCTTTCCTAAGAGATTTTTTTTATTGCCAACTACTGGAAAGTTTCAATACATAAACGAATCTGCAATGTCTGTGATGCGAATGCACCCCCTAGGTGTGTGCTGTGCACAGCCTGCATAATTGTGGGTGTGGCTCTGAGATCCTCTCTGTGGGGCACTTTCATGGTCTATAAAATGTATGTTCACCCTGCCCGTACCACAGCTGAGATTGGATTATTTTCCATGTTCAGTGGTCTAGGAGAGACCCTTTAAGAGAAGAATTACACATTTCAAAGGGTTGTATGCTTGACTCTGAATCACCTTTTTCTCCCCCAAAAAGCTTGCGAACGGCACACATTTGGCAGAACTTGTAAGGAACAGTGTAGTGGACCAGAGGGATGCAAGTCCTATGTATTCTGTCTCCCGGACCCCTATGGGTGCTCCTGTGCCACCGGCTGGAAGAGCCTGCAGTGCAATGAAGGTATGCACCCCCCCGTCCCCCCGCCCCTGCACAGGAAGAGTTCTGGCAGGGCCACAAGGAGGTCTGGCTTGCCGAGCAACAAGGTTTGAATCACAGATGATTTATTGAAAGTTAATTATCTTTCACATGAAGACTCTGGACCTCAGAGAAAGGGCTTCTCATACCCCTCACCTGGGATCTTATTAAAACAGAGTCTGATTTCATGGGTCTGGGCTGGGGCCGGAGGTTCTGCCTTTCTAACAAGCTCCCACACGTGCCGATGCTGTTGGTTTTCAGACCACACTTGACGTTGGAATGTCACTGAGAGCATCATAAATATCAGCACTTTCAGGTCAGATCCAGACTGGATTTGGTGTTTGGTAATTGAGAAAGTTATGATCTAATCTTCTATGGACATTACTCACGCAGTCCTAACTTCAGCTACTCTAAGACCCCCTCTGCCCTTTCTAATGTCTACTTTCCCGTTCGATAAGCTACAAAGGTATGTGTTTCCCATCTCCTTTCCAGTGTGTGTTTCATATCTCCCGCAACACAGTAGTAGCTTCACATGAACCTGCAGCCAAATATGCCAGATCTTTTTTAATGAGTATTAGTGGAGTGAATTGGCCAGAGCTGAAAGAGTTTTCACTATTTAGCTCACAAAGCCAGCTTTTTGCACATCTGGCACTATTGGGAGTTAGGATGGGGCCCCCAGCAACCTGAAAACAGTGTCCTATGGGTGAGAAGTTCAGTAAAAATATAAGCAAGACACATCTGTAATTGAAAGTTTTCTAGTAGTCACATTTAAGAAGTAAAAAAACAAGTGAAATCATTTTAATATTTCATTTAACTCAATATGCCAAAATACTTCAAGAAGTAACCAATAGAAAAAAGTTTTAACGAGATAGTTTTCATTCCTTTTTCACACTAAGTCTTTGAAATCTCAATGTGGACTAGCTATATTTTAAGTGCTCAGTAGCCATGCATGACTAGTGGCTACCATACTGAACAGCACAGCGTTAGGGGCTTGGAATAAGAGGGCAAAGAGGAGAGTTACACAAAAGCAAGCTGCAGCTGCTACAAACCTCACTCAAGTCCCTGTAGATGTTGTATCTGTCCCCGTGGAACACCGAGGGGGCCACAGCAGTGAAGGAATCTTACCTGGTCTGTGAGATGTGCACCATAAAGCAAAAGGTGCCCCCCAGGTGGGGGCAGATCCAGTTCCCTTAAAAAAAAGAATATTATAAAACTATGCAAATTAAAAAAACACATGTATGTATGTAAACACTGCCAGAACCCGGGAGGGGTGCGTGCATGTTAGGAGTCTAGAATATAAGCCTCATCAGCTTCATAGTGAATGTGTCTCTAGATTCAGGTTTATAAGAATATGTATATTGACTCATCCCAGCCATGCCAGGCTCAAGAAATCACTATGATTTTATGAACTGGAAATTTCTAGTGTTCTCCCCCCAGACTCCTTCCTAAGACCTCCAATCACCTATGTGCTAGACTCTTTGATATTGTCCCTTAGGTCCCTGCGACACTAATCATTTCTTTCTAAGATTTCCTCTGTGTTCTTCAGACTGGATATCTATTGATCGAACTTAAAATTCATTGACTCTCTCTTCTGTTATCTCCACTCTGCTGCTAAGTCCACATAGTAACATTTTCTATTTCAGTTGTCTAATTCTAGAATGGTTTTTTTGTTATTAAAATATTTTTATTCAACTTATTGGGCTGACCTTGGTTAATAAAATTATATAGATTTCAGGTGTCTAATTCTATAATACATCATTCAAATATTGTATTGTGTGTTCATCACTCAAGTCAAGTCTCCTTCCATCATCATTTATCACTCCTGTACCCTCTTCTATCTTTCCCATATACCCTCCTTCCATTCCCACTGGTAATCACTATACTGTTGTCTGTATCTATGATTGGTTTTTGTTTATTTTGCCTAATTCCTTCATTTTTTTCACCCAGTCCCCCAGCACCCCACCCCTCCAAAAACTGTCAGTCTGCTTTCTGTATCTACAAGTCTATTTCTATTTTGTTTGTTTATTAATTTTGTTCATTAGATTTTTACATATAAGTGAAATCATATGGTATTTGTCTTTCTCTGATTGGCTTCTTTCACTTAGTGTAATACTCTCCTGGTCCATTCATGGTGTTGCAAAAGGTAAAATTTCCTTCTTTTTTATGGCCAAGTAGTATTCCATTGTGTAAATGTACTACAGTATTTCGTTGTTAATTCTCACCTGAGGATATTTTTTCATTGATTTTTAGAGAGGGTTGAAGGGAGGGAAGGGGTTGGGCGGGGGGGAGAGAAACATCGATATGAGAGAGACACACCTTGATTGGTTGCCTCCAGCATATGCCCCTTGGGGCTGGGGAACAAACCTGCAACCCAGGTAGGAGCCTTGATCAAGAATCAAACCCACGACCTTTTGGTGTGTGGACTGTTGCTCTATCACTGAGCCACACTGGCCAGGGCAGTATTGCAGCTTTTTTTTTTATCTATTCTTTACTGATGGACACTTGGGCTGCTTCCAAATCATGACTATTGTAAATAATGCTGCAATGAACATAGGGGTGCATATATTCTTTTGAATCAGTGTTTTGAGTTTCTTTGGATATATTTCCAGAGGTGAAATTGCTGGATCATAAGGCAGTTCCATTTTTAATGCTTTGAGGTGACTTGATACTGCTCAACAGTGTATGAGGATTCTCTTTTCTCCACATCTTCACCAACATTTGTTGTTTGTTCATTTATTGATGATAGCCATTCTGACAGGTGTGAGGTGATAACTCATTGTGGTTTTAATTTGCATCATTTCTTTGATGATTAGTGACATTGAACATATGTTCATTGTCTACTGTCCATCTGTATTTCCTCTTTGGAGAAGTCTCTATTCAGGTCCTTTGTCCATTTTTTAATTGCACTTTTTGTTGAGTTGTATAAGTTTTTTTATTATCAAATGTATCATCAACAAATATGTTCTTCCATTCAGTGGGTTATCTTTTCATTTTCTTGCTGGTTTCCTTTGCTGTGCAAAAACATTTTAGTTTGATGTAGTTCAATTGTTTATTTTTTCTTTTGATTCTCTTGCCTGAGGAGGCATACCAGAAAAAATATTTCTATGAAAAATGTCTGAGATTTTACTGCCTATGTTTTCTCCTATGATTTTTATGGTTTTGAGACTTATCTTTAATCCATTTTGAGTTTATTCTTGTGGATTGTGTTCACACATATCTCCAATTTTCTCAGTGCCATTTATTGAATAGACTATCTTTGTATATTTTTGTCTCTTTTGTTGAATATTAATTGACCATAAAGGCAAGGGTTGCTGGACTCTCTTTTCTGTTCCATTGACTTATATCTGTTTTTATGCCAGTGCCATGCTGTTTTGATTACTATGACCTTGTATAATTTGATATCAGGTAATGTGATTCTTCAAACTTTTTCTTTCTCAAGATTGCTGTGGCTATTTCTGGTCTTTTGTAATTCCATATAAATGTTTGGACTATTTGTTCTAGTTCTGTGAAATATGCCATTGGTGTCTTGATAGGAATTGTGTTCAATCTATAGACAGTTTTGGGTAGTATGGACATTTTAATGATGTTAATTCTTCCCATTCATGAACATGGTATATGCTTCCACTTATTTGGATCTTTTTCACTTTCTTTTTTACAGTGTCTTATAATTTTATGAATTCTTTTCTAGGTATTTTATTAGTTTTTGAATGGGATTATTTTCATAGTTTCTCTTTCTGATAGCTCATTATTGGTGTATAAAAATGAAACAATTTCTAGATATTTATTTTGTATCCTACTTTACTGAATTTATTTATCAGTTCTAGTAGTTTTTTGTTTGTTTGTTTGTTTGGTGGAGACTTTAGGGCAAGGGTGGGGAACGTCTGGCCTGTGGGCTGTATTAGACCCACAAAATCATTTAGTCTGGTCCTATCAAAGCATTAGGGGTGAGTTATTAAATGTTTGACCAAATAAAGCAGGCTAATTTTTTTAAGTTGATAATCTTTTTTTTTTAAGATTGTCCATGGTTTATTGATAATATTACAGCATAGAAAAATATTCAAACTGTGTCACGTGGTGTTTTGAAATTCATCCCAATTGTAGGCTGAGGGACCCGCAGGTTGGACAGACTGCCCAGGTCCAAGAGCTTCAGCATTTCCTTAGTGTAAGGGTCAACTTCAATGATCTCCTGAGCCAGGGCGGAGACCTCAGGGACATAGTTATCCTCCTCTCCCTCTCCCGCAGCTTGATGGAGATGCCTCGCACGGGCCTCTCTGAATCTGCTTCATCAGACGGGTGACATAGCCCCCTATCTTGTTTCAGAGCTTCTTGTTGGGATTAATGGCGACCTCCTCGCTCACGCGCTTGTTGGTGTGGAAGTCGTTGCCCAGGCGTGTGTAGTACTTCTCCATGATGACCCGGGCCGCCTTCTTCATGGTTTTGGTGCAAACGCGGCTCATGTTGGCTGGTCCCTAGCGAAAGAGGAAACCAAGTTGATAATTTTGTATGGCCTGTGAAGGATGTTATAAATATCCAAAAGGCCCTTGGCAGAAAAAAACATTCCCCATCCCAGCGCTAGGGTTTTTACATACAGTATCATGTCATTTGCAAGTAATGACAGTTGTACTTCTTCCTTTCCGCTGTTTCATTTATCTTTTGTATTTTTTTAGGCTCTATTGCATTTATTTCTGCTCTGATCTTTATTATTTCCTTCCTTCTACTCACTTTGGGATTTGTTTGTTTATTCTTTTTCAAGTTTCATTAAGTGTAAAGTTAGATTGCTTATTAGAGGTTTTTCTTGTGTTGAGGTAGGCCTGTAATGCTGTGAAATTTCCTACTAGGATTGCTTTAACTGTGTCCCATACATTTTGGATTGTTGTGTTCTCATTTTCATTTGTTTCAAGGTATCTTTTGATTTCTTCCTTGACCTCATTATTGACCATTCATTGTTTACGAATGTTTAGCTTTCATGTCTTTGTGTGTTTTTCAGTTTTTTTCTTGTTATTGATTTCTAGCTCCATACTATTATGGTCAGAGAAGATGCTTGATATGATTTCAATCTGAGACTTGTTTTGTGTCCTAACATGTGGTCTATGTTACAAAATGTTACATGTGCACTTGAAGAGAATGTATATTCTGCTGCTTTGGGGTGAAATGCTCTGATGATATCAATTAAATCTATCTGATCTAGTGTGTCATTTAAGGCGGCTGTTTTCTTGTTGATTTTCTGTCTGGAAGAACTATCCATTTATGTCAATGAGGTGTTATAATCCCCTACTGTATTGCTGTTAATCTCTTCCTTTATGTTCATCAAGATTTGCGTTATATGTTGAGGTGCTCCTATGTTGGGTGCATAAATGTTTACATCCTCTTGTTGGATTTATTATTATGTAGTGTCCTTCTTTGTTTCTTATCATAGCCTTTGTTTTAAAGCCTATTTTGTCAGATATATAAATATTTCTACCTCAGCTTTTATTTCTTTTCCATTTGCATGAAATATCTTTTTTTCCGTCTCTTTATTTTAGTCTGTGTGTATCTTTCATTCTGAGTTGAGTCTCTTGTAGACAGCATATATATGGGTTTTGTTTTCTTATCCATTTTGCTATCCTATGTCTTTTGATTGGATCATTTAAGCCATTTACATTTGAAGTGATTATTGCTAGGTATGTATTTATTGTGATTTTTATTCTTTTTTATTTATTGTTGGCACTATTACAGATGTCCCTCATTCCCTCCTCCTCCCTTTAAACACCTCCACACATCCCCACCCACTCTGCATTTGGTCATCACCACATTGGTCATGGTCTGTGTCCATGAGCTGTGCATATATGTTCTTTGGCTAATCCCTTCACCTTCTTTCATCCAGTCTCTCCTCATCCCCTCCCCTCTAACCTCTGTCAATCTGCTTCACATGTCCATGCCTCTGGTTCTATTTTGTTCATCAGTTTATCTTGTTCATTAGATTCCACATATAAGTGAGATCATATGGTATTTGTCTTTTCTCTGTCTGGCTTATTTTGCTTTACATAATAATCCCTAGGTCCATCCATGCTGTCTTAAAAGGTAAAGGTTCCTTCTTTTTTACAGTTGTATAGTATTCTACTGTGTAAATGTACCACAGCTATTTTATCTATTCATCTTCTCATGGGCACTTGAGCTGTTTCCAGACTGTGGCTATTGTAAATAATGCTGCTATGAACACAGGGGTGCATATATTTCTCCTGTTCTTTCATTTGGGGGCATGTTTCTTCATCTCCCCATTTTGGTGCCTCTTCTTGTTTGTTCATATGTATTAGTTAGAGCTGTTATGATTCCCAGTCTTGGTAGAATGGTCTTATGTAGTAGGTGTCCCATGGGACTCAGTGTTGTATTCTCCTTGATTACCTGATCTTGGTGCTCCAGAAATGTCTCTTGTGTGGGTTTTGTGGGTCCTCCTGTTGTAATTGAGTCTTTATTGCTATTGGCCCATTCACCTGTGGGGTTGACCCTCAGGCTGGCTGACTGAAGATTGACCTCAACCACACTATAAAGGCTGTTATGCAGGTGCTGCCCACATGAAGTGGAATTTGCTTCAGCAGGGTCTGGTGCCTGCCAAGATCTCCCTTTGGATTGGCTGCTCGTGAAGCTAATTGGATCTTGTTCTGATATTGTCTAAAGCTGACCAGTGTGTTGGCTCTGGGCCTTTTGGTAGGGACTCTGGTCCAGGCCAATATCAGGTGCTTCCTGTGGCCCTGGGCAACCTGTTTGGAGCTACAAAATGACCCACAGTTTGTGGCTACCTCTGAATATATTCTTTCTGATTGGTGTTTCAGAATTCTTAGGATATATTCCCATGCTGTTCCCCACAGTGGCTGCACCAGTCTGCATTTCCACCAGCAGTGATTCAGGGTTTCCTTTCCCCCACATTTTCACTAGCACTTGTTGTTTGTCGACTTATTGATGGAACATTTAAGCCATTTACATTTGAAGTGATTATTGCTAGGTTTGTATTCTGAGAGGTGTAAGGTGATATCTCATTGTGCTTAGGGTTAGGGCTGCCTCTGCTGTGTGCAGAAAGGATCAAGCTGTGCACCAAGGCTGGCTTTTACCAGCACTGGGCCTGGTGGCAGGTCAGCAAAAGTCCCAAGGCACCCTAAGATTGGCCTCTGCTTGCTGGCTGCCTGCTAGCTCAGTCACTGCAAGGGCCTCTGGCAGTACTCAAGCTGCATGAGTTCAGTTCTCCAGGTAGTCACCAGGTAGGGGTGAGTGGTATTCACCAGATTGATACAGGTTCAAACTCATTGCCAGTACTGGGTCTGAGGTCACTCAGCAAATTTTCCAGGGTGTACCAAGTCTAGCTGTCACCCACTAGGTGCTCACACACCTTTGTGGTGGGGGTGGTCTCATGGAGTCATCACGGTGAGGCCAGCAGAGTTCATCAGGCCCAGATAGACCAAGATTTGGCCTCATGAAGGGAGGGCTCTGCACTAGTTGGGTGTGTGAGGGAAAATGGCTTCTGTCCTAGAGCCACACAGCTCAGTCTGCCTGGAGCCGGAGCTCAATAGGGCAAGGTCGCTGGGAATCAGGATGATGGGGCTGGTTGATTTCCTATGATGTGGAGGTATTGTTCAGTGTTGGGGGAAGGCGGGAGGAGTGATGCCCACCACAAAGCCACACAACTCAGTCTGTCTCAGATTTTGTCCAGACCTCAGCAGGGCAGGGCCTACCATGAGTTGAGAGGGTGTGGCCACCTGTAGTCCACAGGGCGGGGCTAGAGGATTTCCCATCAGGGAAGGCACCAGTTAGTTTCATGGGAAAGTGGGGGGAGTAGCCCTGCCCCAAAGCCACACCACTCAGTCACTGACACACCCGTAGTCTGCCCAGACCTCTACACTCTGGCCTAGGCAGCTGACTCCAGTGCAGGCAGCAGACTCCTTACTGGGGTATGACCTCGGCAGGGTCGGGGGACAGGGAGCCCAAGTGTGGGGTTATTGCATTCCCCTAGGCCCGTGGTCGGCAAACTGCGGCTCGCGAGCCACATGCGGCTCTTTGGTCCTTTGAGTGTGGCTCTTCCTAAGCCTTAGGAGTACCCTAATTAAGTTAATAACAATGTACCTACCTATATAGTTTAAGTTTAAAAAATTTGCCTCTCAAAAGAAATTTCAATCGTTGTACTGTTGATATTTGGCTCTGTTGACTAATGAGTTTGCTGACCACGGCCCTAGGCTAATGCCATAAGGAGGGGAGTGCTCCACCATACAAGACAGATGGTGTCTGGGGTGCAGCAGAGTTATTCAACACAGGGTTCTGGGCAGTTGTCCTCCAGGTGTTCTCCCCAGAGCCATAAACCCCAGCTCTCTTCCCAGAACTCCAGCTTGCTCTGATCTCCCTCCGCCTGAGCCCAGGGTGAGTGGCTGTGAATGAGATTGTGTGTGTTGGCTCTTTAGGAGGATGCCTGGTCTCTAGCGGACACTGTAGCTCCCTGGAAGACAAACCCCCCCGATTTTAACAGCCAGGTTTTATGTTGGTGTCTCTTCCCAGCTCTGGTGCTCTGGGCTATGGAGCCCAACATGGAGTTGAGACCCCACACTCCTCAGGGGGAACCTTTGCAGCTGAGGTAGCCCTCCAGCCTCTCAGCCACTGCCCATGGGTGTGGGGGACAGCCTTTTTTGTATCTCCACCCTTCCTACCAGTCTTGATGTGGCTTCTTCGGTAAATCCTTGGTTAGAAGACTTCTGTTTCACTAGTCTTCAGTTGGTTATTTAGGTTGATTGTTCTGTATTTTTGTTGTAATTCCAGTTTGGTCCTGGGAGGAGGTGAGTGTAACATTCACCTAGTCTGCTGCCATCTTGGATCCTCTTTTGGCTATTTTTTATAGTTTCTATGTCTATGCTGAGATTTCTCATTGTTTCACTTGTTGTGAGCATATTTTCCTTGATCTCACTGAACATAATGATGACAGTTGCTTTCCAATTTTTGTCTACCATTTCTAACATCTTTGATAATTTGGCCTCATGAAGTTATCAAGGTTGGTCTTTGTTTATTTTTTCTTATGTTGAGTAATTTGGACTTGTATCTTGGACACTGTAAATGTTACATTGTGGAGACTATATTCCTTTGAGGAGTGTTGACTTCATTTTAGCAAACTATTAACTTGGTAGGACTAAAACGGAAAACTCTGACTCTTAGTCATCAGCTCAAACTCAGTTCAGTTCTTTTATTCTTAGCTGGGCAGCTTTGAATCTGCACTTAACATGTGTGGTTCAGGGACCAGCCAAAGATTTGGGAGTTTGCCTTTCTTGCTCCCCCTTTCTAGATTTTCCCTCTCACTTTCCAATGGCCATGGTTGTCCTGACTGTGTCTTCTTGTTCTTCAGGTCAGTAAACTACAGGTTTTCTTTGGAGTTTAGTTTCCCTACTTGGTATCGACTGTACCCAGCCATTAGACTAAAAGCTTAAAAATGGGAAACACCTGATTCCCATCTTCCAAATTTTAATTCCCCTTTAGAATCTGTCTGGTTCCAACTCCCACTCTTCATTGCTTTCAGGTAGTTTTTTTTAAAATATAGTTATTATTTATAAGAAGGGTGACCTGGTAAGAGCTTGTTCAACTCTCATAGAAGCAGAATTTCCTAACCCCTTAAGTTCCTGGTAATTCAGATAAACAATGCAGATAAAACACATGCTACTTTAAATGAGTTGATTGGAGAGAAAATGAAACTAGCCACCTACAGCCTGAATGTTTTCCTTCTCCTGTTTCAGCACTGGTTTTTGATGTCTTTGTTTACAGCATGCCAGCCTGGGTATTATGGGCCAGACTGTAAGCTCAGGTGCAGGTGCACCAATGGGGAGATCTGTGATCGGTTCAAAGGATGCCTCTGCTCTCCAGAACGCCAAGGGCTCCAGTGTGAGAAAGAAGGTAAAGCAAGGTAACACTGTAGTCATAGCAACGTTCAGCACATCTGAACCAAGGTTTCTGGAATCATTCTTGCCCCCAAAGCACAAAATTCTCAAACCAATTCTGTTTCCATCTAAAAGTTGGACCTAGGTTTTAAAGGAAAGCTTTCTGATTCTTTTCTATGGACCTTTATACTGGCTCTCATCCTTTTTTTTCTTTTTCTAGAAATAAATCATGTGCTCTTTATAGCACATTAAGTGATAACTGGCCAGCTGACAGCTCTGCCTATCTCTTCTGCTCCCTCCTCTGGGACCAGCCTTTTCTCTAGATATACACAACAGGGAAAAACTACTTTAAAGGGATTTAGACAAAGGATTTTTTTTAAAAAGATATAAAAAATAGAAAAGATTACCCTCAGAATGAAATGGTAAATAATTCTAGTTAAGAAATTACCTGGAACAGAGGTAAGCAAACACTAAGCCATAGACAAGAGCTACTCCACTATTTTTTTAACATCTTTATTGAGATATAATTTTTATACCTTAAATTTATTCCCTTAAAGTTATTCAATGGCTTTTAGTATATTTATGGATTTGTGCGACCATTGCCATAATTTAAGTGTAGCATATTTCCATCATGCCAGAAGAAATCTTGTACCTGTTAGCAGTAACTCTCATTCTTCCCTCCTTCCAGGCCCTGGTGACTATTAACTTTCTGTCTGTACAGATTTGCTTATTCTTGACTGGTTAGACCAGTTATACTATAAGTGAGATCATACAGTATGTGGTCTTTTGTGGCTGGCTTTTTCACTTATCATACTGTTTTTGAGTTTTATCTGTGTTGTAGCATATATCGGTACTTCATTCCTTCTGAATTGCCCCTCCATCTGTTGTCATAAAGAAAACTATTGGAACACAGCCACACCCATTTGTTTACAAGATATGGTGTATGGCTGCTTTTACACAAGTTGAATAGTTACCACTGAGAACAGATACGGGGGAAATACCAACAGTTGTTTTCTCAAAGGCTTTAGCTTGTCAGCTTTATACTTTCCCTTCTGTCCCCAGCGTTTGGACGTTGTTACAAGGCAGGAACCTGGGAGGGTCTAGCTAGGGAAGGAAATGCTCTGGGCTACTAGAGGAATGGATTGAAATGGAGAACTAAGAAGCTTTAGGAGTTGAATTTTCTATTTTACTCCTTCCTTTCTGTTCTCAGGCTGATGTTGCAAAAGGTGTGAGAAATCTCAGCCCTAGATCCAGACCCTCAGCTTCCAGAGAGCAGCCCCCTTTCATTAACACACACCCTCCCACCCTCCACCTGAACATCCAGCTTCACCTGCATCCAACTGCAGCAAATGCAAGGGACAGTGAAAGAAAGAAATGGTTTAGGAGTGTCAAAGCACTTTTTAAAATTCCTACATAAGGAACTACTTAAGCTGAAAAATTTAATGAGCTTTCCAACCTCTCTAAGTCTACAGATATGTCAAGGACTTACCTCTGTAGTCATAGGCCCTTTTGTCTCCTGCTCCACACACTTTACCTGTTTCTTTCTAGGCCTGAGAACTAGGATATTAATATAAAATGTCACTATTGACGTGTTTACCATGACCCCACCTCTCCCACCACTGAGATGAAGCAGCGTATGAGTGATGACTGCTCTTGGGCACCTCCATCTCCTAGTAAAGAATGGGTTGAACTGTTTTCAACCACGTCTCGCATTTAATTACAAGTGGTCCAAGGTTCTCCAAGATCCTAGAGTTCAGAATAAAGCTGTTATATTTCAGGATTGTTCATTCTCTACTCTGCAGGTATTAGGCAAGGAATCCTGATGTCTTTGTTGTAACCAGAGGAATATTTTCTTCTTTCAATATTAGAAGCAACATTTTTTGATTTGGCTGTTGACTATACTTTGATCTGGGGAGGGTTATATGTTGCTTTACTTCTTGCATATAACTCTGCCTATTATTTTATTTATTTTTTTAATCCTCATCCGAGGATATTTTTCCATTGATTTTTAGAGAGTGTGGGAGAGAGAGGGAAAGATAGAGAGAAAGGCACATTAATTGGTTGCCTCCTGCATGCGCCGGGACGTGCAATTGAGGTACGTGCCCTTGAATGGAATCGAATCCAGGACCCTTTGGTCTGAAGGCTGACACTCTATCCACTGAGCCGAACTGGCTAGGGCAAAATCTGCCTATTATTAATCACCTGCCACTTGAAGACTTCCCAGTCAATGAGACATCTCTCACATATCCAAACCAATGTTCCTGGTGTTGATCAGCAGAATCATGGGGTTGTTTGCTGAATGGAAGAACTAGTTTTTGTTCTTATAAAAATTCTCTTAAATAGCAAGAAAGAGGCTGAAAAGTAAGGGCAGGGGATGTATTTCATTGGTGCACTGAGGTAGCCCAGCATTATGGGTAGCCAGTGTGGGCTCTGGATCATCAAGATCTGAGTTTGAATCTGGGCTCTGAGCCTCCCTCTCATCATCTATAAAGTGAGCACCACAATAGGACCCACCTCACAAGTTTTTATGTTATGAGAAAACAATATAATATTTGGAAAGTTCTTTCCTGGGTGTGACCTGCTAAATGGAAGCTACTTTTATTATTACTATTGCCGTTGTGTTAAAGATTGGATTTCACAGTGCTGTTTTATTCATCCAGGCAGGCCAAGGATGACCCCAAAGATAGAGGACTTGCCAGATGATATAGAAGTAAACAGTGGTAAATTTAACCCCATCTGCAAAGCGTCTGGCTGGCCACTGCCTGCTAATGAAGAAATGACCCTGGTGAAGCCCGATGGGACAGTGCTCCATGTAAGAGTTATTCTTTTTTTAAAAAATATTTTATTGAATTTTACAGAGAGGAAGGTAGAGGGGTAGAGAGTTAGAAACATCGATGAGAGAGAAACATCGATCAGCTGCCTCCTGCACACCTCCTACTGGGGATGTGCCCGCAACCAACGTACACCTGGGATCTTTCAGTCTGCAGGCTGACGCTCTGTCCACTGAGCCAAACCAGTTAGGGCATAAGAGTTATTCTTAATCTGCCCTCCTGACATCACTAGATACTTTCAGTGTAGTAGTCACCCTGCCCAAGGCTGGATTCCACTTAGGGCTTGCATCCCCCAGGCTAGGATGCTGTTAGCTTTGACTCCGGACAGACCTGTTCCCACATCTGCGGCTCTATCCACTGAGCCAAACCAGTTAGGGCATAAGAGTTACTCTTAAACTGCCCTCCTGACATCACTACATACTTTCAGTGTAGTAGTCACCCCGCCCAAGGCTGGATTCCACTTAGAGCTTGCATCCCTCAGGCTAGGATGCTGTTAGCCGGACAGACCTGTTCCCACATCTGCAGTTCAGAAACCAGGATCCACAGAATCCCTGAGGTCGGGAGGCATTCCTCGGGTCTCCCTGCCCTTCCCTCTCCCCTCACTGATGGTGCTCACCGCTGGCTATGGCGCTATGGCAGCTGTTCTTCTTTGCTGGAAAGGACCAAGCTACTTTTTCCATACCTTTCCCCTTTCTCTCCCAACATCCCAAATTTCCCTGTGTCACAAATGATCCCCAGGACGTTGGTGTATTTTCTTAGCTAATTTTTTAAAAAAACAGTTATGTTTTATGTCTCTCAAAGATGACTGAAAATCAACTTAGCAGGAAGGCAGTGACCTCGTAGGGACGTGGCTATGTACTCGTACAGAACACGCCATTGCCAATGTCCAGACGCCAGATGCTCCTGATCCCACTCAAACAACCCGTTAGGTAGTAGAAGCCAACGGACAGCTTCCCAGCTCTTGTTGGCCTTTCCACCAATCATGGGAGCAACAGCTACTACCTAGTGAGGGCCAACCATACGATCCACCTTCTAATTGAACATCACCTGTCCCTTTCTGCAGAAGTGGGAACTGGCTGGGTGAAGTTTAGTAACCAAGGAACTGGGCACAAGTGGCAGAGCCGGTATGTGGACTCAGAGCCCTGGCTTTTCCCACACGACCACACTTGACAGCCCTCGCACCCTTTGGGAAGCCATGGTATCCCTCTCCCCCTGCCATCTCTGTATTGGACCAGAAAGCAGCAAATGTTGCCAGAAGCAGTGTAAGAGGAATTAGACTGCTTGCTTGTAACTATTTACCCCACACGCCCAAACACACAAATACAACCAGCAGGATCTGTGAGGGCGTCAATCCAATATAAACTCTCGGGGCTACTACAATAGCGTTGGAAATGGGCCAGTGATTATACAAGCCTTGCACTGAACTTCTTAATCTCTCCTAGAAAACTTCTTATTAAACAATGAGACGGGGTCAGTGTTATGAACCTTTGTGTTTACGCCTCCCTGGAAGCTTTGATTTTTTTTTTTTGTATTTGACCTTTCCAGCCAAAAGACTTTAACCACACGGGTCACCTGTCAGTGGCCACCTTCACCATCCACCGGCTGCTGCCCCCTGACTCAGGAGTCTGGGTCTGCAGTGTGAACACCGTGGCCGGGATGGTGGAAAAGCCTTTCAACATTTCTGTGAAAGGTAAGCTCCGCGTCCAGAGGAAGAGCTTGTATCCTTGAAGCTTTGTTTATGTTTCGCTGGGTGTTGCTTCCAGATAGGAATGTTATCTGACCGCTAAAATGTCTTTTTGGATCTTTCCCAGGATACTAAGTCTTTACAGTTTTGTTTTGTTTTTATGTGCAGGAAAATGGAAAGGAAGGATTAAGTATATGACCTTCGGGGTCACATAGCCCAGGGATTGATTTTTGTCCCTATTATCTAGTCACTGTGTGTGTGCACCTGGGAAAATGAATTAGCCTCTTCTTTTTTTGTGTGTGTGAATGAAGCTTAGTTTACCTACATTTCTGGGTTATTGCGAAGGTTTACTAGATATATAAAACACTCGGAATTGTGTCTGGTACAAAGTGTCTGGTCATGTTTATATTTCATCAAAAGCTTCATCATTGTTGTGACTTCTGACTCCCTACTCATTGTAAAGCATTATTTGGAAATTTTTGAGAATTATGCTATTGAATGAACATGAATGATTTTTTTCACATATTCAGTGTTGTATGTCTTCTGCTATAAATTTGTCTTTCAAAATTCAAATTAATCTATGGGGGTGTATGTACATTTGTAGCTTGAGGAGAAGAAATAAAGTGAAGGCAAATCCCAGGTAGGTTGGCTGGTATACATGGATACAACAAGGAGTCTTAAATATGGAAGTTATTTATGAGTCCATTTAGACAAAAGTACCCAACACTCTTAAGTATATATTCTTGGAAAGGCAGTGAGATAACTGTTTCACCACCTGCTTCATCTTATTTAATCTTTATAAGAAATTTATGCAATAGATATTGTTATCCCCACTTTACCAGTCAGGAACCAGGCTCAGAGATTTAGCTAACTTGTCTAAGATAGTACGTCTGCTAAGCAACGAATCTTAACTTTGAATCTGGGTTTCCTGACTCCAAAACCTTCACCATTTTGCTTTGTGAGTCTCTTGAATTACAGACGAGGAAGCAAGATGACCAAGGTTGATTTCTATTTGATTCACTTCATTACTTGATTAGGAATCTTTAGGAGAACCAAGAGGTAATTTCTATAAATGAAATGAATGTAAACATAATCTTTTATTGTTAAAAGGCCAATCATAGCAATACCACAAACAGAGCCTCATAGATTTGGATTCTCTTCCCAGAGAATCCATGTAAACCACCTCAGAATTCTCAGTATTTTTTGGATTACTGGACAAATCCCAAATCTGATTTACTTGGAGTAATCACATTATCAAAACAATTTCTACGTCATACATGTTCTTGGAAGAAAGAAAACAATATACAAACAAGGCAAATTATATCATTGTTTAAGCTTCTTGTCATGTTTGTTATCCAGGGAAAATAAAAATAAGAATGATTAAAAAAACAAACCACATTGCTAAGATTCAGGCGAATCTTATTTTAATGAGAGACATAGCACATGACGTCAGTGCAAGGACGCATCTCTAGTTCCAAGTCACTGATGCCTCTTCACTGCCATGTTGATGGACTTTCATAAAAAGGGAACAGCCGTTGGGTAAAGTTGTCAGTGTCTTTAACCAGAGTATTTGTAGAAATAGATACTAGGCTTTATTACCAGAGGACAAATTGGTACGACGACTCTGGCAAACTGGCACTATATACTAAAGCTAATCCTACACTTACTCTGTGACCTGGCAATTTTACTCCAAGGTATATGCTCAAAAGACATGTGTGCATATGTTCAAAACAGACATCTGCAAGAACGTTCCAAGCAGTTTTATTCAGAATAGCCCCAAACCGAAATTAACCCAAATGCCCATCACCGTTGGAAGGGATAAGTAGGTTGTGGAGCATTCATGTGTATTATTTTGCTAGGGCCGCTGTAACAAAGGACCACCAACTGGAGCCTTAAAAGACAAAAATTGATTTCCTCACAGTTCTGGAGCCTGGAAGTCCAAGATCCAGGTGCCAGCAGAGTTGGTTCCTTCCGAGGCCTCTCTCTTAGGCTTGTAGCTGGTCTCCATGTGGTCTTCCCTATGCATGTGTGTGCATCCTAATTTAATGTTTTTATGAGGACAATTGTCATATTGGATTAGTTGACAAACAGTGATTCAGCACCTGGTGAACAAACCTACATGGTCTGTTTAGAGTCTACTGCAGTGTTTTACAACTTTTTTTTTTTATCATTATTCATTAAGGAGTCCTCTTAGAAATTATTTCCCAAAACTCTACGTCCACCACTATAAAATTTTAATTAACATCACAGATGTACTGCATATCTGTTTATGTACTGTGGCTCTTCACAAGGCCACAAGCCATTGTAATAGTTTATCCCAAGAATTTTCACCTCCTTGGTGGGGTGCTATTGTTCCCACTGAGAATACATGATCTTTGAGAAATGGGGAGATTATGCTGGGTTATCCCGATGGATCCACTCTAATCACATGAGTCCTTAAAAGCAAAGAACTTTTCCTGGCTCTAGTCAGAAAGATATATTACAATAGAAGGAGGGTCAGAGAGATGCAACCTGCTGACTTTGAAGCTGGAGGAAGGGGCCGGGAGAGGAGGAATGTAGGTAGTTTCTAAAAGTTGGAACGAATAAGGAAACATTCTCCTGTAGAGCCTCCAGAAAGAACACAGCCCTGCTAACACCTTGATGTTAGCCCCGTGAGACCCCTGTCTGACTTCTGACCTTCAGAACTGTTAGATAATGATCGTGTTGTTTTCAGAAACCCCTCCCCCGACAAAAGAGAGAGAGAGAATACATAGTCTAGGTCAGCGATGGCAAACCTTTTGAGCTTGGCGTGTCAGCATTTTGAAAAACCCTAACTTAACTCTGGTGCCATGTCACATATAGAAATTTTTTGATATTTGCAACCATAGTAAAACAAAGACTTATGTTTTTTGATATTTTTTTATATATTTAAATGCCATTTAACAAAGAAAAATCAACCAAAAAAATGAGTTCGCGTGTCACCTCTGACACGCGTGTCATAGGTTCGCCATCACTGGTCTAGTGGGAAGATCGACATCAAATAATCACACAAAATCACCAAGAATAATAAGTCCTGAAAATTATAATGAAGCAAAAGTAGAAGTTCTGTGAAAGCCTAGGATAGCCTTTGTGAAGAAGTCACTTTGGAGGTCAGAGTTGAATGATGGGTAAGAGTTAACTGGAGAAGAGTGGGAGGTGGAGCATTCCTTCCCGAAAATGACGTCTATGAAGACTAAGCTGAAAAGGAGCTTGCTGCTGCTTTGTTAGTTGGATGAACTGAACGTTGGTCAGTGGGGCTGGAGGGTATTGGGTGAGGAGAAGAGGAGGCTGGAGAGGAGGCAGGGACTCACTCGTGCAAGGCCTGGCAGGTCATGGTACACATTTTAGGCTTTATTCTAGATGTAATGGGAATCCATTGAAGGGTCTTGAGCAGAGGAGTAATCATATTTTAAGAAAGCGCTTTGTAGATAAAAGGTTGGAGAGGCAATAGCTAAGTGGGGAGATCACAAAGTAGCTGATTTCATGGCATCTGAGCAGAGAGCTCTAAGAGGGTGTTGTTTGAAATGTAAAGGCACGCACCCCCCCCACCCACCTAAGAATAACGATAAAACCCCAAATCTAAGAACTAATCCGATTGCTGAATTTGTGTTTAGTTCTTCCAAAGCCACTGAATGCCCCCAACGTGATTGACATCGGACATAACTGTGCTGTCATCAACATCAGCTCTGAGCCTTACTTTGGGGATGGACCAATCAAATTCAAGAAGCTTCTCTACAAACCTGTCAATCATTATGAGGCTTGGCGCCACATTCAAGGTAAGGTTTGTGGAGGAAAGTTCCCACTGGAGACGTACCAGGAAGGAAAACTATCCCCCAACATAGAAGCCCCTCTCCTGTCTCAGCCCTCTTCCCCTTGGTGGTGGCTGTAGCAGAGGGTTTAGTTTCAGAGTTTGTAGGATAGAGTGTGGGGCCCTCTGAATTTGGGGCCAACTCTCTGAAAGTCGGGATGTGCTATGGAACACGGAACAGACTGCATCGGGAGTGACTGTCTATATCCGTGTTTCTTTTTCAGGCTTCTCTGGCTCTCCAACCCTGTTTTTAGTTACTCTGTCTCGGTTGGTCATGGTGAAAGATCCATGTTTATGCCATAAATATGATAACAGGAAATTCCAGGGTCTACTGGAAAGACAAAGAGACCGAATCTGCTTAAATTCGAGGGTGATTGTTGCTGCTATATTAAGTTGTTTGTTCTTGTTCTCATTTGAGTCTTGCCCTGTCCTGCAGGCTCCAAACGCAGAGATTGTGAGAGGAATTTGGGCCTGAAAAGTTTACGTTGTGGCAGACAGAAAGGCGGGGGGTGGGGGGGGGGGCACAAAGTACATGCTCCTCCCCCAACTTCCTGAAAGAAAAAATAATTCCACAAAGTGTGATCAAATGTCAAAAGTTCATAAAAACACTGTTAATGAATTAATTTGTTAAATTTCTTTTGAAGCACACATTAGAGTTCTGTTTGTTGCATGACGATGTATAATCACCATTTTTGAAGAGGAAGCTGAGCACTATCTGTTGGCGCCGCTGCTTTCATTGTGCCGTCCTGCAGGGAGACCTGGGGGGTCGTGCTGCAGGCAGCACGCACCCTCCACCGCCACCCACCGCACGCGGTGGCCTTCTGGAAAGGGCAAGGAAGTTACAAAAAAGGAGAAGAAAAGGAGGGGCGGGGGTTAGTGCCACTAGTTGATCTGGTTTTGCTGAATAAAGTCATGGAATTAGTACTGAGCTCTTCACATTCTATTGTAGACTCAGCTCAAATTCAACATCTGAGCAAAGGCTGAATTGTGGGGTGGCTATTTCCAGCACCAATGCCTAGATCTTATTAAAAGCATGGTGATAAAAGTTCATCGTCTCTTTTTACAAGTAGACATCCAAAACATGGTCTTCTAAGGACTCTTAGGCACAGCCCACTTTTTCCTTACTGGCTGGAAATTTATCGTCTGGCGAGGCAAGATCTCCCTTCGCAGGGTCTGTGGAGAAGGAGGCTGGCCAAAGCCCACCGCTCAGGAGCAAGCAGCCCGCACACTTGTGAATGGATCTGGGCACCCCAGACCCTTCCTTTGTAATGATGTGGGCCAAGCCACCGCCCCTCATTGTGAGCAAACCCTGAGATTTCTCCTCTGGAAGCTTGCTTGCAATCACTGCCTGTACTGGAAAACAATTGAAATTAAGTTCTTTATGTTATTCTAAATTGAGGTTTTCTCCCCTAAATCAGATTGGTATTCCATAGAGTTGAAGATTGTTGTGATTTTAGAATTTTACTCTACACAGGAAAAGACTAGAGCAGAAATGATTAAGCGACGCAGAGATACCTCTATAACTGTACACACGGCAACCTGGAGTTTTCCTTTGAGAAGCCGTATTTCCCTTATATTAGGAATGGTGAGGCCCTGAAGATGGAACTGCCTCTCCATTTCACTAAGACATTGTGCTTTTAAAGGCCAAACAGTAGTTCCCATCACAGTCGCAACCTGCCAGGTTAGAGAACGTAAAAGGAAGCCAACCTAAGTTTCCTGCACTTTCCCTCTCCTCAGTGACAAGTGAGATTGTTACACTCAACTCTTTGAAACCTCGGACAGAATACGAGCTCTGCGTGCAGCTGGTCCGGCGTGGAGAGGGCGGGGAAGGCCATCCTGGACCCGTGCGACGGTTCACCACCGCTTCCATCGGTCAGTTGGAGCAAACAGCGTTTATGCACCAGCCGGGTGGGAGCGGGAGGAAGGGGAAGGAGGAAGGAAGACCAGGAAGGGTGGTGGTGGGTGAGTGGGTGGGTGGGGATGGAGGTGGAAGGAGTTCGCTTTTGAATGGGTGGGAAAGTGACAGGAAGGGTAGCAACTCGGAGCCAAACCGGCCCTTTATTTGGGCTGCTCACTGCTCTGTCCCCCTGGGGGAGGGGGCCGGTGGCAAGCCACGGGGCCCAGAAGGAAGCAGATGAGCCTTCAGGAAGGCGAGACCTCCCTCAGGAGTTGCGATGTACTTAGCAGCAGCTGAGCGGGGCCCTGGCTGCTGAGTCCTACCAACGGTTTCCTGTTTCCATCTTCAGGGCCCCAGCCAGGCTCCTGCCACATACACGCTTCAGAAATCAAGTTTGTTTACTTTTGAGAAGAATTTTTAATTTTTTCAAAGTAATGCAGGCACACAGTTAAAACATCAAATAAAATGAAAGGCTTTTATCTAAAGAACAGCAGCCCCCACCCCCCACCCCCACCTCCTGGTCCTGCTTCCTATCAGCAGCTGCTTTTACCTCCTGAAGCTGTTTCTTAGAGCCGGCACCTCCATGTTTCTAAATCAGTGGTCTGACTCCCATCAGAATCACCCGAGAGCTTGCGAACACTGATCTCTGGGCCCCACCCCAGAGTTCCCGATTCAAGGGTTTGGGATGGGGAGTGCAGCTCAAGAGTTTGCTCTTCTGGAAAGTGTGCAAGTGGTGCTGGTCCTGGGGCCACGCAGTCTAAGTCAGGGGTGGGGAACATCTGGCCCAGGGGCCGTGTAAGACCCGAGAAATCATTTGGTCTGGCCCTGCCAAGGCATTAAGGGTGAGTTAATTAAATGTTTGACCAAATGTAGTAGGCTAGTTATTAAGTTGATAATTTTGCATGTCTCATGAATGATGTTATAAATATCCAAATGGCCATTGACAGAAAAAAGGTTCCCCACCCCTGATAAGTAATTCATGCAGCAATATTTCTCTTTATTGTTGAGAGAGAGAGAGAGAGAGAGAGAGAGAGAGAGAGATTGATTGTTCTCCTTATTTGTGCATTCATTGGTTGATTCTGGTATGTGCCCCGACTGGGGATCAAACCCACAACCTTGGTGCATCAGGAGGACACTAACCAACTGAGCTACCCAACCAGGGTGCAGTGTTTCTTGATTAACCAACGTTAGTCACTACCTGTTGGCCTTATGTTGTGTTAATTGAAGCCCTTAAATGTGAGAGGTTTCTTTGAGGCTAACTGGGGCTCCAGCTTTCTGCTACCCAGGAGTCCTCCTCTGAAACGCTGGAGTGACCCCTTGTAAAGCTCTCTTTTCCAGTGGTCACTGTGTAGAACCATTGGTGACTATGTCCTGGTCAGCGCTGTCTGGTTTCAAGTTCACAGATGTTTAATTCGTTATTACCTTACAGGGTAAGAATGATCATCTTCCCCATTTTACAGAGTGAAAAGTAGAGTCTCAGGGTGGTTAATAACTTGCCCATGGTGATGTACCTGATGCAGCCCCACACTGGATTTTCAGATCTACTGTTTTTGTTTCTCCAATTATTATTGTTGTTTTTACCTAGGAGCCCAAGGCACCGTTTCTTTATCCCATTTGATAAAGTTGCCTACTTTTAGTCCATTTGCTAAAGGCAGGAGGATAGAGAGTGATTTGTGAGAAACTAGGAGGAACATGTAGTTCTCTTGCAGGGTTGTGCAGCCCTAACAGAGACCCCCCACTCCACACACCCCACCTCGTTTCCATTTGACCAGCAGCATCTTGAAAGAGCCAAACAGGACTCCCGAGCTCCTCTGGCACTTGTAGGAGCATTGCACACGTAAGACATGGTTTCCTGGGAACCCACCAGGTAGTGAACACAAGAAATAACAGCAGAAACTCTTCAAGTTAGATGACAAAGGGATCTCTGTGATCAAAGGGCTCCCTGGCACATGCTCAGGTTGACATGACTCAGCCTTCGGAATATGTTCCAGCCAGGATGGATTCAGAGGTCTCTTGGAATATTTCAAAGAAGTTTTCAAGGGTAGCCGGGAAGGGAACTTTTGAAGGCTCTGTTCCCATCATTTGAATTTTGCTGATGCTTGTTTTTTAATTCATCTGGCAGCTGCACAATTTATGATTGTGTTGATGGATTGATGGAACACGTGGTACAGAGGACAGGTAGGGAGGGGTGAAGGGTAAGCCATGTTCCTGAAGGAAAGAAAAGGGGGAAATGGCCATTTAATGAGTTACTCCTCTGTACCAGGCACAGGCTTAGAAGGTGTACAGGTGTCTCCAAACATCAAGCTTCTGTCTGCTTGGTGATTGTAGGTCCGTCTAACCACTCTGGGTGGCTTATTTTGGAACTTAAGCTTTCAAGATGGGCAAAAGGAGTTGGCGTAATCTACTCTCTCAATTTGCAAAGTTTGTAGAGAAAGGACCAGTAACAATGTTAGCATGATATCAGGCAAGCTGCAGGCACTGCTTGCTGGTTCTCTCTAGTCTGAGAGCAGCCAGAGCTGATGGTGAAAGCCACTCTCCCAGTGAAGGGAAACAGACCTTCCCTCTCACTTCTAACCAACAGAGCAGTATTTCTCAGCCTTTTACTTTTAATTTTTTAATTATTGCCCCCCTAAGGAGATTTTAGATATTTTTTGTTCTTAGGAAAAATGGCTATTTTGTCCCAATGTCTCCCCTGCCATAAATTTTTAAAATGTTTTTTTTTAAATATATCCTTATTGATTTCAGAGAGAGAGAGAGAAACATCAATGATGAAAGAGAATCATTGATCAGCTACCTCCTCAAGTTCTACTGGGGATATGAAGCCTGCAACCCAGGCATGTGCCCTGAGTGGGAATTGGTTCATAGGTTGACCCTCACCCCCCGAGCCACTTCGGCCGGGCCCTGCCATGAATTTTAATACAGTAAATCTGTTTGTAGTGTAACGTGGCCCTTCATAAACCACGGTAATATCTAAGATTTTCTCACACCCTAAGAGCCAGTTTTTGCCCCCTTCGGGACACTAATAAATACATGAATTCGAGGATCTCTATTCTATGTTTTGAAAATAATTTATATCTGAAACTTAAAAATCAATTTAGTATTGTTAACTGAAAACACACAGATTCCTCTTCTTTCCACTGACACATGATAAGACATTTTAAGAAGGAACGGGGTGGCGGTGGGGGGAGGGGAGGAAGGGAGAGAAGAAGGTCATGATGATGGAGCATCTAGCACATTCTAAGCATTTTCAACCCATTTTCTCATTTATTCCTCCTGAGTCTGGAAGATGGGTATTTTCATTTTGGGTTACATGTGAACTTGGAGAGGTTGTCAGTTTTCCCAAGGTCACAAGACTACAGTGGCATGCTCTTGTCTCTTTGATTTCAAAACCCACATTGTTTCCATTCTCTCGCCTCTCTGGTGGCCCAGGTTCTTGTGGGTAGTTATGGCTGGGCAGCATGTGCTGGGATCCCTTGCCTTTATGTGATCAGAGCAGGGCTAGCCTGGCCCTGCCACCACAGCTGCTATGTCTGAAATGCTCTGTGTTGAGAGGAAGTATAGTAATTCCAAAATTGCTTTAAAGTCTGTTGCTCAAAATGGTAGGGGAAATACTCACCTACAAACCCATAAACTTGGCAAATCCACTGTTTTCATGTTTAGCAGTTTCCTTCTTATCTTTCACCAATTGTAGACATGCCTTTTTCAAAGTTGCAATAGACTTTTTTTAAAAAATATATTTTATTGATTTTTTACAGAGAGGGAGAGGGATAGAAAGTTAGAAACATTAA